TGTTTTTACAAATGCTCAAGATATTGTTGATGCCTTTGGTCAATACTTCTCTGTATGCCTGATGCTAACCTAGCTGATAATTTGCCTCATAAATATTTGCTATCGCTATTCGTTCTATTTCAGAAGCTTATGTTGTCGCATCGTCTAAGAAATTGAAGAATAAACTGATCATAGGGCCTGATCAGATACCTAGTTTTCTAGTTAAAGATTACAACCCTTAGTTTACATTTATAACCTAATTCTGAAGTCCAACTCGTTTCCAGAGGCTTGGAAACTAGCTAGAGTTACTCCGATATTGAAAAAGGTGACCCAGAGCAAATTGATAACTACAGGGTGTCCGCAAAGTTGGGGTTTTCCTTTACACGGCGTGTAGATCTTGAAAACATAAGCAATTTTTCTTAATACCATATACACCAATCTCTTAAGGGAACCGAGATAAAGGGCTCTGCAATATCAAAAATATCTGAATACCGTCCTGTAGCCGCGACCCGGGACATCACCGATTGGTACAAAGTCTCAAGCCGACGGCAGAAACTGGTTCGGGTTCAGTGTGTCAGGTCAGTATGCAACCTTCAACCGACGGTTACGGTCACACGTGTAGAGGTAATCGCGTAGACGAGAATCCCTCAACAAGCACTAGAGACGTGGCTAGAGAAGTGCAAGTATCAAAAACTAAAGTGTGGCAAACGCTGCGTGAAGAGGGGATGTATCCGTTTCACGTCCAACGTGTACAAGCCCTTTAACCTGACGATTTTCCAGCAGAGTGCGGTTTTGTGAGTGGTTGTTGCATCAACATGACAATAATCCGACTTTTTGAAGTGTATATTGTGACAGACGAATCTACGTTCACGCGTAATGGGGTGAATAACTTTAGCAACACTCATGTTTGGTCAGTAGAAAATCCGCACGCTGTCCGTCGGGCACATTTTCAACAAACATTTTCGGTGAATGTTTGGGCTGGCATGGTGAACCTAGACCTAGACTTTTTACGCAACATTTTGCCTTCCTTGTTTGCCTGCGTCTGCTCGGTAGCGCATCAGCTGATTTCATTTTCTGTTGGAGCGGTATGATTTCGGGCAGAGACGTACTTAGCCCTTCTCGTCAACTGGAGAGTGAGTACTTTTTCCTTTATTTTTTTTACTTGGTCGACCTCGTTTCACTACACATTACCTTTGTTATTTCAAGGGTAGTTGTTTCTGAAAAGGAAAACCCCAACTTTGCGGGCCCCCTGTACGTAGTCGTGCCATAAGTTCTGTCCCATGATAATCTCATGATAAAAATGAAACAAGATAAGATATATTATATGAAAGATATTATTATTCGACAACATTTTTAGAATTCATAATCAAACAGTTTTATTCAAAATGTCCCCCCTTGGCCTTCACACACTGCTTCAATCTCGCGGGCCACTCATCTATCACTGCACGCACAGCTTCCAAAGGAATAGCTGCCGCTGATCGGATCAAATCCGCTTTCAGGGACTCGATATTACGGTGGGCTTTGGAGCAGGCCAACTGCTCTAGCAGGTCCCACAACTTGTAGTCTAAAGGATTGAGGTCCGGACTCCCTGAGGGCCAATCTTCCGCAGCAATGAACTCTGGCACATTGCTTGCAGCCAGCGCTGCGTACTCTTAGCCTTGTGAGCGGGGGCGGAATCCTGCTGGTAGACCCAGTGTTGGTTGGCAAACAATGTACCACTTAAAGGCTTGACGATAGGATCCAGTATGTCGCTCTGATAGTTTGCCGCTTTTGTTTTCACGCCCTGTTTACAGAAATGGAGCTGAGTGACCCCTTCGTAGGACACCCCCCACCAAACCATGACTGACGCAGGGTGGTGGCCTCTCTCAACTCTCGGAATGATCTCCGAAGCTTCCTGTGAACTCCTTGCATACACTTTGTCATTTTGTCGGTTGAATTTTTCTTCTATGGTGAAGATTTTCTCATCCGTGAACAAAATCTTTCGGAATCCCCCAGCTGCGTACCTCTCCAAGAGCTTCTTGGATCTTGTCGCCCTGATGTGTCGCAAGGTGGCCGTAAGTCGCTGGCCCGTACGTCTCCGGTAAGCCCCTAGCCCTAGGTCTTGTTTAATGATGCGCGACATCGTCCGGACAGGAATCTTCATTTCCCTGGATAGGATCTTCTGCTTCCGGAGTGGATTCCTTTGAATCCTGCTTTTACGGCTTTGATGGCTGCTGGAGTCCTTACTTGACGAGGTCTTCCGCTTCTTGGCCTGTCATCAACAGAGGACGTCTCATTGTACCGCTGAATGGTCCTAGACACAAATTTACGCGATATTTGAAGGCCGCGTAAGAGTTCAAAAATCTGACTAGCACTGTGATTACACTTATGTAAAGCTATCACTGCAATACGGTTCTCTTCCTTGCCCCACTCCATCGTTATGCTTCGAGAGATCAATACAAACTGAGGTATATGTAATTACCCGAAAAGCGCTTAATCAACTGACACCACAATGTAAACAATCGGACAAGTATTAACAGGTCTACACTTGTTTGAAAACGAGGGACAGAACTTATGGCATGACTACGTATATATAATAATATAAATAAAATATTTTTTCTTTTACTAGAAAACCTCCCTATACCGAGTTTTATTCCAAAATCCGAGATACTTCTCCAGCAATAAGGAAAAATAGAAACTAAAATTGTAACTTTGACACCCTGTATCTCGCAAACTATCAACTTTTGGACTAAGGTATGTTTAGGTCAATTCACATATTTTGGTCTGTAGTATCTCCAGTTTCGAGATTTCCCAACATTTCGCAGACACCCTGTATAGCATCATATAACGTGATAATAATTGCGTTAATATCATTACATTTCAATGTATTATAAAAGAAAAAATATGTTTTGTAACCTTAAAAAAATAAACAAACTTCAACACAACTATTTCGTGTTAAGGCACGTATAACATCCAAAAAACATAATATCTCATTTTCGAAATTTCTCGCTATTACAATACCTTCCGCCATCAAGCGTGGGAAGTAAAATCGAACAATACGAAAACGAGGAATAAATGCAATAAAATAAATATCTCGCTACCTTAGTTTCCGCGACAGTCGAAGTAGAAACAGTAGTGGCGGCCGAAGAATTTGTATCGCCGCCACTGGATTCGGCATCGCTAAGACTGCTTCCCCTTTTGCTTTTCAGTCTACGCCTTTCTGATACGGGAAGCGGCTTGTATTGTTCGCCTTTGAGATGGCGCTCGTACGAAAGCAGGAATCTGAAAAAGTGAGGTTATGGTTAAAAGTGCCGGTTAACATTGATACACTATTTCACGAGTACCCTTCAACGCTTTGACGTCCGCTGAGGTGAACAGCTGATCAGCAAGTGACATTTTTGTGCTAGTTTGCAATAATGAATCGGATATAAATCTAGTAAAAACATTTTTTTGTTTTCTATGTAAATGAACTTTTCTAAATAAAAGAGCTGTCAGCAAGAACTAAATGAATGTGTAGCGTACAATAAATCGAAACAAAACACGGCTCTGTCTACTTGGCGTTGACGGAACCGTCAGATTTATGTATCCTGTGCCGATATGGGGAATTTTGAGATATTACTAAATAATCAGCTGTCACTCTACCTTGATGGATACTCGTGAAATAGGGTATATTTACAGTTTTACAAGTCATCAAATCATTATTTAGTGACATTCAAAATAAGCTATATCGTCGAGTGACAGAGACGTAGTTTGTAGAGATGCTAATGATTTTATACAGTGTTGCAAAAAATCACGATTTTGTTTTAAAAACATAAATCCCGATTTTTTGATTAAATATATATTGTTTGTTTAAGATTTATTTAGCATGATTGCTACAATTACATTCTTTTAAACAACTAAAGCAATTAAATAACATACCGATATTCAGAAAAAAAAACAAAATTTGCATCTCTAAGAATTTTCATTGTCCATGAAATATTTAATTTAATTTAATTTTCTTTTAAATATCTTTAAATTACAAGTAAACTATATCATTACTTAGTTTGTTAAATTAAAGTAATCCTTTCTGAAATATTGATTTGCTAGTTATATTACTATTGCAATTTTGTAAATGAAAATCTATATTTCCTCTTGTACACGGTGTTTCAGTTTATTGTTGCATAACTTTAAGATTCAATAGAACTTTTAAAATTAATGCATAAAGTCTACATAAACATGGGTCGAAAAATGCGTGGCTTCCGAAATACAGGGTGTTTAAATTTACGTTCTAAAATAGTTTTTTTTAAATATTTCGAACAATGTTTGATGTATAACAGTGAAATTTGGTATACAAGGGTTTTTTTGGTACGACAAAACGAACCATGAGCATAGTTTTACTGTAGCCGCTAGAGGGCGCTCTCTACCGTACCTGTAGTGTTTTAAAATGACCGAAAAATTTTTCTTAGTGCAATTTTTTGCTTTTTGAATAAAAAAACTGATTCTTCGCACTTTTCTGCATAAAAAAGCTCTCCTGTGAGTTTTCGTTACAGTTAGCCATTTTTGAGATATTTCGATTTTTAAGGTTCGATGCATTTTTAATTATTGTGGTAATGATTAATCAATTCTATGTAGTGTTTTAAATGTTCTGGCAAAAGATGAAATATAAAAATAAGAACCAAATATGATATGAAATTTTTTATATTCAACCACTGCAATTCTTGTAACATAGATTTTATTTTGGTGTACTTATTTTTATTCAATATTATTCTCTTAGCTTTATTTTGTAAGACTTGTAATTTTGAGAATACAGCTTTATTGGCAGTGAACAAGATAGTTAAACAATATAGTAAATGCGGTGGAATAATTGTATTATAAACTATTTTCTTGGAATAGGTACCAAGACTTTGAGAAGCCTTATAAATGTAATTTGTTTTTTTGGCAATTTTTGAAATAATGTATTTATAGTGATCCTCAAACTTTAGTTTACGGTCAATATATAAAGCTAAATATTTAATTGAATCAACATTTTCAATTATTTCTCCCTATTAGCACACATTTTGTTTTAGAAGTATTCAATTTTAGTTTATTTACATTTAACCAATTTACGATTTTTGGCAAGTCAAAATTTAGCATTTTGCAGTGTCTATATTTCCATCTGATATGTATATTAATGTATCAACTGCAAATATCTGAAGTTCACAATAATCTAAGATATTACAAATGTCATTAATGTATAAAGTAAATAGTAATGGACCTAGTTACTACCTTGTGGTATACCAACAGAAATATTTTTTGATGTTAATAATGTAGAACAAATTTTGGTTTTTTGACTTCTGAATAGTTTTGTAGAACTTTGAATACAGATCCTTTAAATCCGTAGTGATGCAATTTTGTAAGTAATTGATCCCTGTTAATAGTCTAAAACACCCCTTTGAAGTCCAGTCCCCTAAAACAATTTGAAAATATTTACTGAGCAATATTATTAAATTAGTTTTTCAGTATGAGTATTAAGATTTACTTCCTAAACACACATTTTGTATTGATCAATAATTTTTATTTGTTATTATTCACCATGTAGGTAATATTATCAACTATAAACCGTTGTTGCTGTTGTAAACTGTGTTTAGTTTAATTTATGAATATTTATATTTTTGAACTTAATAATGTATGTAAACCTTCCTTTTTTTGAATTTCCTGGTGAGTTATTTTAGTTCTTTGCTTGCAGACTTGTTTTTACAACAATTTATAATTTGATTTAAATCACGATTAATATTTAAAAAAATCCATTGTTTCAAATAACAGGGGTGCTGGTGGCCCAAACCAAGAATTCAAGACAGAAAATTGAGATTTTCAAAAAAAGTAGTGTGAAAATTGTGAGTTTATACAGAAATAAGTAAGTTAATTTTCTGAGAAAATGAATATCATAATGCTAAATTTAAGCGGATAATGTGAATAAGAATCTGTGAAAAAAAAAACGAAAATAACACTCATAAGGTTTTTTTTATGTTTTATTGATTTAAGCAAAAATATTGTTCATATGTATGCATATTTAAAAATCAAATGCATATAAAAGAAACATAAAAAATATAACAAATTCTTGTAAATACGGGAGACATACTTATATCTTTCAAGTATTCTTGTCAAATTGATTAATCCTACATTTTAGTGAACCAAGTTGAAATTAAAAAATGTTCACTTAATAGCATATAAATAGTCCTTTGTTTAGTAAAATTCATTAGTTTAAATATTAATGTAACGTAATTTAATTTAGTGTTTATTTATTGTTGTTGCATAATTAGTGATAAATAATTATAAAAAAATCCAAAAGATACACGATCTGAGGCATAATAATAATCTGACAATGCCTTTGCACTACACCGCATTGTTTCAAAAATGTTTCACTTTCTATGCTGTGAGGTTATACAACCCAACCGACCCTGCCTGGAGAAGCAAAAGTGTAGGAAGCTGGTTAAAAATCAGCTGATGGAAGTATCATAATTAGTTGTTATTATCTTTATGTTTTTTTTTGTGTTGTCATCCGTTCAGTACTGGTTCTTGGCGCGGATTTATCAATTGATTGTATTTTTTCCCTTTATTATTAGCTCGCTTACTTGAAAGCCAGATCGATGTATTTATCTTTAGGTTGCATGTATGTGACTTTGAATTGTATATGCATATTTAATCACACAATAGGGATGGGTGCAAGAGTAGCCATCTGGCTAAACTTCGCCCTATTGTTGTGTTGCTAATAAAGACATTTAGGACATTTTTTTTCCTCTCGAAAACTAAGTAAGATACGAAAAAATCCAAAGGACAAAAGAGTTCATGAAGTTAGTGCTAAATAACTACCACCGCCAAGATGCAACAAAATTAGGTAAAGGATATTGAATAAATTTTCGAAAATAAAAATAAATAAAATCGAAGGTCTTTTTACGCTCTAAAATCTCCAGTTTACCGATTATTTATAAAATTTAATTTGAAAATTATACAAGCAAAATACTGAATTTTGGGCTTTTCCCATTTCCCGAAAACTAAGCAAGATACGAAAAAAAGAAAAATCAAGAGACAAAAGAGTTCATGAAGTTAGGGTTTAATTAGCTCCTTAATCTTATAACTAACACCGCCAAATTTCAACAAAATGAGATAAAGAATATTTAAGAAATCTTCGAAAAACCATTTTTTTTGTTTGTTAAATTTGAACACCATGAATCTTGAGAGCGGACCCATGTTTATATGAACTTTTTGTCTAAGAATCGCCTGTTAAATTTATGGCACACACTACATTAACGCCCTGTATATAAAAATTATTTTTAACGTTACCTTTCGTAATGTCGACGGATTACCGTAGCGCTTATATTGTTTTGGTAACCGCTTATATCTTCGAAAATCGACTTCCACAAGCGGTTGGCAGTGACGTTATCATATCCGCCCAGTTTTTGTACTTTTGAGAAAAATTCATGGAGGTTCACTGAAAAAAAAAGAAAGATAAAATAATCTTCAATCAAATCCTAGATTTCACTGGTCGCCAACCGGAAATCAAAATGACATTGTGTATTTTGAAACAGGCTTCGAGGTAGCCGAAACATCAGTGAATATTTCAATTCAACTTCAAAGTTGGGACTTTATTTTACAGAGCGTATTAATATTTTATTTTTGGATCACCCTGTAAATGAAAAAACGTCCCCCTCAGAAGAGTCACAAATGGGGGTGCGACCTTTTTTTGGCCCACCTTGTATGTTTTAGTAGTTATATAAGAATAATCTGTGACGAACGGCTACGAAGCTTTGGTTTTAATTATCTGTAAAAAGAGAGTAGCACCAATACTCACGTTCTTTGTATCCTAGGGACGGAGTTCGGCCGATTGGTGTGCGGTTGGACTTCATAAATGCGGTCAGTTTCCGGATGAATTCTTTGTTTTCGTTATTTTCGTGGCATCTGGTGCTTCTTCGTGTCGGTGCACCGGAATCGCAACGAATTTCCGGTCGAGATTCACCCTGTACGAAACAACGATCTTAGTATTCAGAACAACTGCGTTACTTTTCAATATAATTTATTTTAACAAGTTGTAAATAGGTGGTTAGGAAGACGCAGATTTAAAAAACCTTCTAAGCCAAGAAATTTATGTTTAATTCATATGTCCTTTGTTTATAAGCATTAAGAAATTTTCACAGATTTTAATCAAGGATTTTAGTTAAATAATGACATCTGGCTCATTTTCATTTCCTTGCAAAATCGGGAAATCCCAGAAAACTTGACACGTTGTATTCTTCAAAATTAAATTACCATGAAATAATAAATAAACAATAAATCATTTCCTGTTACTCTCACTATAATAAAGTCATTTATATTGTACAAGAAAATTGTTTAAACAATTCAAAATTCAGTTAATTGGTATACTCTTAACAAAATACACTGTAATAAATTGTAAAAAATATTGAATCGCGTTTAAATTTATTTTATTTGCATTCGTTTTGTTATAATAATTTGTTTATTCCAATTAAATCGTTGGAACACAGTCTAGTGTTCAAATAAACGTAAATAGTTAATTTAGTTTCAATTCAAATTTAAAATTGATATCCTAGATTCAAATCTGTGAAAATTTCGAGTCTTAATGTTTACCTATAAATAAAGGAGATAAAAATTAAAAAAATGTCTTGGTTCATATTGGTCGTAGAAGGTTTTTTAAATATGCGGTTTTTCAACATGTTAAAATAAATTATATTGGAAAAGGACTATGTTATTGCAAATGTTTATAACTATAAGAATGGCTTTTTTCTAACATAATTTTTTACAATGATTTTAAAAGAAATGATTAACTTTTTGCAGTAATTCGTGAAGTTGAACCCTTCAAGAATCACTTTTCTAAAATGTTATACGAACATACTTTTTTTTTTACATAAACTATTTCACAGATTTTAATCAAGGATGTTAGTTAAATAATGACATCTGGCTCATTTTCATTTCCTTGGAAAATCGGGAAATCCCAGAAAATTTGACACGTATTCTTCAAAAGTAAATTACCATGAAATAATAAATTAACAATAAATCATTTCCTGTTACTCTCACTATAATAAAGTCATTTATATTGTACAAGAAAATTGTTTAAACAATTCAAAATTCAGTTAATTGGTATACTCTTAACAAAATACACTGTAATAAATTGTAAAAAATATTGAATCGCGTTTATATTTATTTTATTTGCATTCGTTTTGTTATAATATTTTATTTATTCCAATTAAATCGTTGGAACACAGTCTACTGTTCAAATAAACGTAAATGGTTAATTTAGTTTCAATTCAAATTTAAAATCCTAGATTCAAATCTGTGAAAATTTCGAGTCTTAATGTTCACCTATAAATAAAGGAGATAAAAATTAAAAAAATATCTTGGTTCCTATTGGTCGTAGAAGGTTTTTTAAATATGCGTTTTTTGTTAAAATAAATTATATTGGAAAAGGACTATGTTATTGCAAATGTTTATAACTATAAGAATGGCTTTTTTCTAACATAATGTTTTTCAACGATTTTAAAAGAAATGATTAACTTTTTGCAGTAATTCGTGAAGTTGAACCCTTCAAGAATCACTTTTCTAAAATGTTATACGAACATACTTTGTTTTTACATAAACTATTTCACAGATTTTAATCAAGGATTTTAGTTAAATAATGACATCTGGCTCATTTTCATTTCCTTGGAAAATCGGGAAATCCCAGAAAATTTGACACGTTGTATTCTTCAAAATTAAATTACCATGAAATAATAAATAAACAATAAATCATTTCCTGTTACTCTCACTATAATAAAGTCATTTATATTGTACAAGAAAATTGTTTAAACAATTCAAAATTCAGTTAATTGGTATACTCTTAACAAAATACACTGTAATAAATTGTAAAAAATATTGAATCGCGTTTATATTTATTTTATTTGCATTCGTTTTGTTATAATATTTTATTTATTCCAATTAAATCGTTGGAACACAGTCTAGTGTTCAAATAAACGTAAATGGTTAATTTAGTTTCAATTCAAATTTAAAATTGAGATCCTAGATTCAAATCTGTGAAAATTTCGAGTCTTAATGTTTACCTATAAATAAAGGAGATAATTAAAAAAATATCTTGGTTCCTATTGGTCGTAGAAGGTTTTTTAAATATGCGTTTTTTCAACTTGTTAAAATAAACTATATTGGAAAATGACTATGTTATTGCAAATGCTTATAACTAAAAAATGGCTATTTTCTAGCATCATTTTTAACAACGATTTTGAAAGAAATGATTAATTTTTTGCATAAATTCGTGAACTTGAAACCTTCAAGAATCACTTTTGTAAAATGTTCTACAAACATACCTTTTTACAATTGTTGATGCAATAGGTAGTTATAGACATTTATTAATATTGCTAAAAAGCACTGTATTTAGCTTATTTATAGATTTTAATACGAAAAAACAAAAATTTAAGGTCTTTTTAAGCTCCAAAATCTCCAGCTTACCGATTATTTATAAAATTTAATTTGAAAATTATACAAGCAAAATATTGAATTTAGGCTTTTCCCACTGTTTATAAAAAAACAACGCTTATCTGGCTGTATCTTTTTATGTATTTGTCATTAGAAACATTTTTAATTTAAAACTTTCAGATATCTGTTAAACTTTTTCACAAGAAATAGCTATTTTTTTTTGTAGCCTGGGCTATTATATTCATTTTTAACGTATTATCTGTGTTTTTCCGATGTAAGCGTAAATGTGTTATTGGAAACGGTTTTTACTGTTTTAAATGTAGAATTATCTCTCATTATGAATGAAATCATTAGTTGATGCTAACATTTTTTTTGTGATATATTGTGATATACATATACAGGGTGGCTCATTTGAGGGCACATTTCTAAAATATTGGCCATTATACAGGGTGTCCCAATTTCGACCTACATATAAAATATGTGATTTTTCAAATGGAATGCCTCAAATTTTATTGCATTATTGGATAAGCCAACTCAATAGAAGGAAATTGATATAACATACTATGGGGTTTTGGTAATTAGCTACTGAGATATAAGGTGTTTTGTCTAGAAAAACCCCCCACTTCGGCTACCCCTCAGTCTGCTATTTTGAAATTTGGAGTGCTGAACTTTGTATAAAAAAAACTTACACACCTCAGCTTCTATCTTATTTATTACTTTTTCGAATTTTAATTCTTGGATCACCCTGTATATTTGTGCAAGTTTGGATTAAAATTTGCGTTTTCGACCACCGTGTATGATCAAGAATCATATAAAATAATATAAAAGCTGAGGTGTGGAAGTTTTTTTTTTTTTACAAAATTCAGCACTCCAAATTTCAAAATGGCGGACTGAGGGATTGCCGAAGTGGATTTTTTTCTAGACAAAACACCTTATATCTCAGTAACTAATTGCCGAAAACCCATAGTATGTCATATCAATTTTCTTCTTTTGAATTGGTTTATCAAAATATGCAATACAATTTTAGGCATTCCATTTGAAAAATCACAACTGCGATATGTAGATCGAAATTGGGACACCCTGTATAATGGCCAATATTTCAGAAATGTGCCCTCAAATGTCATGTACAGGTATAATATCCCACAAATAGATTTTCCCAAAATGTATTTGTTTATGAGTAATATCTCGTCCACACATGGATGGACCACCCTGTATATTTTTTCTTCCTTGTACCTTACCTATGGAATTAATTTTTGTAAATTACCATGAATAAATATGAAATAATACGGATCCCCCAGTTTACAGGGCCCCCAGGTAAGTACGTATGAAAACAAATTATTACGCTTAATCAGTGCTAATGGTAACCAATATCAAAATCTCGTACTCACCCTAGCATTGTACCCGTTTGGAACCGAGGATTCCGATTCATTGCTTTCCGAGCCAGGCGAGGCGCTCCTCTTTTTCCGCCTGCCCCTAGGTCTGCCCTTCAGCTTCGGGGCCAAATGGTTGCAAAGCATCTCGTGCCCCTCCAACTCGGGATAATCGAACGTGTCCTTGCAGAAAAGCACCCTGGTGTTGGGATGCGTGACGTAGAAACCGCCAAGCGCGTTGACCAACTTCAGCTTGAGGTAGCCGTCTTCGACGCCTTCGAGACGTTTCATCATGGCTCGGTACCGGCAGTACCTCGGGAAGCTCAGGATTATCACGTGCGGGTCGTCGAGCTCTTTTTGGGACTCGGCTGGAACGGAGACGAGCGTGAATAAAAAAAATGGCATCAACAAGAGACGCGATTCGTTCTTTTAGATTGCATCAAGGCATTTGATACGACCCTGAACTTTAGATAGCGAAATGCCATTATGGTTACTGAAATAATTTGTTAAAATTGATAAGTAGTTTTCTCACAAATAGGTCAACTAAAAATGGAGGTACTGTACGGCCAAGAGAAAAACCTGGAAAATACTTTCAAGTTTCTGAAATTGCCGCTAGGGGGCGTAACTGCAATCTTGAATCTAAAAAAGTGACGTTTCTGTGAATTTCGCTATATTAACTTGACAAAAAATATCTGATCTTTACAGTCGAGGATAATGCGAACCTTTTTTGTTTAACAATTTTTGCTGTATCTCTAAAAATACAGTGGTGGGGGGTATTCAAAGGTTTCAAACACGCCGTATCTTCGAAAGGGCTGAACTGGTTTCAACGAACTTCTGCTAGTTAAAAGAGCTATTGGGCTACAAATTTTATACTATTTGAGTTTTGTTAGTTTCACATGTGGCAGCTACAGTAATTCAGATAAGAGATAGACCGGATGTAAACAAAAGGTTCGGGTGATTTTCACGTTAACGCCGCCGTCTCGACGTAAAACAGGAGCCCTCACTGGTAAATTCGCAATTAAATGCCTATGCCGAGCGGCAGAGCAGTCGTATCAAGGCAGAGTCACATTCAGGTTCAGACGTGTTACGTATGTCGTGTGCATCATTGCAATTTGATATTTCTTTGGACGTTTTCGTTTGTTATCTTATTAAGTTGTTGAGTTTGTCGTTGTTATTGTTATACCTTGTTATTGATTGTTATTGTTATAGGAAACGCTTTAAAAAAAGACACCTGAGTGCAGAAATGAAAGAGGTCATTTTGAATATATATATGATCGAGCGCGAGGAGAACGAGGCATCAACCATCAAAGAAATTGTTGTGAAGGTTTCTCACAAAGTTGGGGTGTGTCGCGCATCAGTGTTTAATGTGTTAAGACAATACAAAAAAAATCACACCTTTTCTGAGCCAATGACCAGTAAACATCGCAAAAGTATTGTTAAATCATTGGATGAAGCTGATAAGCATGCGATTAGGAGGAAAGTGCATGAATTCTTCTTTAGGAATAAAATACCTACTATAGATAAAGTACTGCAGGAGGTAAATGGAGATACAACGTTGGAAAAAACGGGGTCGTAATAGTTTACTACTGGATAGAGAAGAAATTGTGCTATGGAGGAGGGATTATTTAACAAAAATTGGGAAATATAGAAATCAAAACAGGAAGATTTATTACCTTGATGAAACGTGGGTAAACGCAGGACACACTACAAGTAAAGTATGGGTTGATGATTCTGTAACTTCATCCAGGAGGGCCTTTCTAGATGGACTGTCCACCGGATTAAAAAATCCAGCAGGTAAATACGAGTAATAGACAACAATCGAATGTTTTTCAAACCTTGGGAACAAGGTTCTAAACATTAATTCCAGGGGGCAGATAAAACATATTACAAGTAACAAAACTTTTATAACTTTCGATAAAATGCGTGGATGTTTTATTGTCATTTTCATTTGTTAGAACTTTTTTAAGCCATGTTTTTATGTGTTTTCGATATTTCAATATTTTTTTAATATAATCTTAAAATACGTCGAATATTATAAACTTAAAAAAAGTTACTAAATTTTATATTGTTTACCGTTCCTAATATTTCTAATCATTTTAATTCATACTTTAAGTTTTATAAAGTTATAATTTGTTAATATTAATATGCGCGTATTTCAGGTTCCTGATCATTCATTTTTTAAGGGTTTATAACTTTGAATTAAATTGTGAAGCGCTGAGTAATCATACGACGTTCAATATTCTTTCTTTCAATATGACTAAATAATCCCAATTGTAGCAATCTGATACTCATGTCTCAATGTTTTTTCGCTGAATGTGATGAAAACATTTGAAAAAGGTTCGCTTATTGAAATAAATCTACACCAGTTAGTACTTCGATTTCCAGGTAAAGGGAAAAGGCTCATTATCTGCCATATTGGCAGTAAGGATGGGATTTGTTGTTGACGGTTTGTGGTGCTTTGAGTCTAAGAAAACTGGAGATTACCACGAGGAAATGAATGGCGAATCGTTTGAACAGTGGTTTTCAAAAATTTTACCGAACTTAGAGGAAAACGCAGTAATTGTGTTGGATAATGCGCCTTATCATTCTCGAAGAATGGAGAAGGTCCCAACAACGGCTTCAAGGAAAGTTGATGTTCAAAATTGGCTCCGCTCGAAAAATATCAACTTTGAAGAAGCAATGCTGAAAGTACAATTATTAAGAATTGTCAAGGATCACAAGGCGGAATATCAAAAATACGCCATTGACGAAATGGCAGCAAGTCAAAATAAAACTGTGCTCCGTTTACCTCCATACCATTGCGAGCTCAATCCCATTGAGCTCATATGGGCAGAGGTTAAAAATTATATAGCTAAACACAATACAACTTTTAAATTTTGTGACCTCAAATGACTTTTCAAAGAAGCACTAGAATTAATAACAGCGCAAAAATGGGAAAACTGTATTAAGCACGTGAAAGACAAAGTTGAAAAGAGAATGTGGGAACTGGACAATATTTTAGAGGAACAAGTCGAGCCATTCATTATTGACGTTGGTGCTTCAGGCAGTAGCGATGATGAAAGCTCATCAAGCTCATCTTTCCAATAAAAGATGTCGTTCATCAAATTCGGTAAGTTATAAGTAATTATAAAGCTACTGTATTTTTAATTAATTATTGACATTTTTGAACCCATTTTGGCAAAACCTATTCAAGAACCTACTTTCTGACAATGTTCAACCATGCACATTTTTTTACGTTTTGAACGTTTTAATTTGGTTACATATTTACCTAGAAATCAAAAAATATACTAATCAATATTCTAAAAGCAATTTTAAGAGATATACGATTATTTTTAATTTAGGCTAATTTAAACGCCATTTTGAGATTATATTCGACTGTATTTCACCAAACATCAGGCGGCATCCGAAGCTGGAAATCGAAGCGAAAATTTTGAAACCCTTATGTATATTTACATCATTATATATTTCTTACCCCACCCCCACATGATCCTATATCCATCACCAATCGTATACACATCGAATTGTGCTAATTTACTACAAAGTTTCGCAAAGCAGCATCTACTATATAAAATATGTACTGCGTGACTCTTAATACGTCCCTGTCGAATGTTACAGCGTTCGATGATCACGTGGTCTTGTTTATGTCCGGTCTATCTCTTATCTGAATATACTGTAGAGGGTTTTTTTCGATATGCCGACAGAAACGATTAATTCTCTCAAAAAACTGAATGCATTGGTATGATTTTTTTATGAAAAAGTAGCTAAATGATGTCTAAACAAGCTTGGAAAACCGCTTCTCGATATCTTGTTCCTATCCTAAAATTTAGGCCAAAGAAATGTTATATGGAAATCGCTTAAATTTTTATTTTTTAAGCTAGTTTTTCTCGAATTCTGTTTTATTCATCAAAATAAAATCACCATTTTTGAAAACATTACAAAACATGGCTAAAAACTAAGTAAAATGCACATTTCTTGTTTAAACGCATATACAGGGTGACTTCGAAGTTGAGTCATTTATTTTAACAGTGAGTAGATCTGATCAAAAGAAATGTTTTTTCCTTTAACATTTTTCTGGTAAAATTAAATTAACACAGTTATAGCCCTTTATAAGTTTGAGTACCGCCCTGTCTCAATAATAATATTATGTGCTCGTGTTTGGCGACAACGGATATAATCCGCCTTATCGGTTCATCGCATCGGAAACAAAAAAGCGAAAGAATTTGGAACGATGTTTTTACAATTATTTTATTCAGTTGTGTTGTATACAGTCAGTGTCAGTCGGTAACGCGTTAGTGAGTCTGTTGCGTGGCTCAAACGAAATAAAAAATGGCACATGTTTATGCGGATCGGTTTCCCAATCGAGTGCAACCAATCCCTCGTGCTTTTGTTAATTTAGTACAAAGGGCTCGTGAATCAGGTGACTTAAGACCTCACAGAGGAGGGCATGCCGGTGCTCCAAGACCGCACGAACAAATACAGGTCCGCACTGAAATACTTGTCGGGAGGATACTTTATAAAACAAGGTAAACATTTTTTTAATTTTTTTTTTTTTTTACACACATATTTTGGTTTATCTTCCTTCTACAATCATTATCTGAAAATTAATGACTCAACTTCAAAGTATAGTATTAACACGTTAATCGCCCAAATGAAGCAAAAAATATTCTACCCCCAGGGCCAAACATAATTTTTTTAGGAAGTACTTAATTTTTACTCTGGATATGATGTGCTGGATGTTATCAGACGTTAGTCTTAGAAAATGTCCCAAAAATATATTTTGAAAATGACTCCCGACTTATGGGTTTCAGATCCCCCGATCACTGAGCGCCGCGAAACCCAAATGTCGGGTGTCATTTTTTTAAGTTCTAACAAGTCTCCGTATGCTAGAAATGCAGATGCTTCATGTAGTTTCCAGTCCAATTGTTGAGAGCGCGCCGAATAGTAAGGCTTGGTTGTGAATAAAATAATTTGAGTTGTGATTTGTGCTATAAAATAAAATGACGGGCACATATGAAAAGGAGCAAATGAGACTTATGAAATTGTAGAATGAGCTGCTATCAGACGAAGAGGAACAAGGACCATCAGAGCTCATGGACAATTCTTCAGACGATTACTTGCCCAGTCATTCATCATCAGATGTTGACTCCGACACAAGCTCATTGCAATTGAAACCCAGGAAGAAGAAAGCTAAAAGGTAAATTATTATTATTATAAAAGTGTGGTTTCTGCTTCATAATGCTCCCAACTAAGACTTTGCAATTTCTAGATTATCTATCAAATCTAAGAAATCTAATGATGGTCTTCAGATGAACAACCCAGTACTGACATTATCCACCAGTGACTTTGCAACATCTGTAAATTCCTCGAGGTCCAATATAATTCATCCTAGTACAGATAGTGAAACTGACGATTCTTGGCAGGAAATAAATCCTAGAAAAAAGACTAAAAGGTAAATATAACCTTATTGTGGACAAGAAAATGTGCTGACTTTTTTGTCCTGTGCTTAGTGCATCAGTCAATTATTATATATTTTGAAAAATATACTCATACATAATCTTTCCTTTCAGATCAAACAATGTTGAAATGCCTACGGTTATCCTAGGGAGCAATCATCGCGATCCGCAACCTTCTACTTCTAGAGATGCAAACATCATACCAAAAAAGAACAACGTCAGTCCACTATTGATGAAGTCATCGATGAAGTTATAGCTCAGTTTTGTCTTATAGATAGTGAAAATGAAAGCGATGAAGATCCTCTGCATGATGAACTACACTGGATTCCTTTGGCCGGCTCTCATTTATAAAAGTTCATTTTTGATTTACATCATGTCGGTGTTACTACACAGATATCTGAGGACTTTATTACCAAGGCACCGTATGATTTTTTCAAGATATTTCTCAGTGACGAACTTCTGGATTTGATTGTACTAGAGACCAATAGATATGCTAGACAATGCAAAAACAAACCTTTGGCAGTAAACTCGCGCTTACACAGGTGGAGAGATACAAACAGGGTTGAAATTACGACATTTTTTGGAATTGTAATGTATATGGGTCTAGCAAGGTTGCCGAAAATGACGGATTACTGGTCCAAGAATCCCTTATATAGCAATAAGGTGTCGTGTAAAATGTCCAGAAATCGATTTGAATTACTCGTCAGAGTGCTACATTTCAACGATAACGAAATTATTGATAAAAATGACCGACTGGGAAAACTAAGCCGACTATTAGAAAACTTGACCAATAAATTCAAAGAGGTTTACGTTCCGGAGAAATCTGTCTGCATAGATGAAACACTAGTACTATTCAGAGGCAGGTTATTCAGGCAGTATATCAAAAATAAGCGGTTCAAATTCGGGATAAAACTGTACAAATTATGTTGTAAAGATGGCTATACATACGATATCAAAGTATACTGCGGAAAAGATAAAAATTCAGAGAAACCTGCTACAGTTTCGACTGTTTTGTCACTAATGGAGCCACTTTTAGACCACGGACGGATCTTATACACCGACAACTACTACACTAGTGTCGCCTTGGCCCATGAGTTACAAAAGGGGTGGTTGTTTTGAAATGGCACGATAAACGTGATATTCTTTGTCTGAGCACTGTACATACTGAGACAACCACTAAATATACACGGAGAGGAACAGAATTAGAAAAACCATCTCTTGTTGTTGACTATAACTCGTGTAAGTCTTTCATAGATCTATCAGATCAGCTGAAATCATATTGTTGGCCTTTACGTAAAGGCGTAAAGCGGTACAGGAAATTAGCCTTTGAAATATTACTTGGATCAGCTGTAGTCAACGCCTTCATATTGTATAAAACTGTGACGAAAGCGAAAATATCAATAACAGAATTCAGACAGAAAATTACCCTTGGTATGTTACAAATCGAAGAGGTGACTGTCAGGGAGGAGACAGAAAATGAAACCAGAAAGCATGTTTTGCAGGAAGTTGCTTCAAAAGACCTACGAAAATGTGTAGCATGTTATGCGAAAATAAGTATTGAAGAATGCAGGAAAGCCGCTCAGAAGAAGGGACCTAAGTCAAAATTTTTTTGCGATATATGCAATAAGTTCTACTGTTTGTCATGTTTTTTTGATGATCATAATTATTCTTTATAACTAGTTGCAATCATTTGCTATGTTTTTTGATATTGCAATTATTATTTATAACTAGTAGCCACTGTTTGTATTACATCGCTAAAATAAAAAAGTGTTTTTATAACTGCATAGCATTATTAGAAGAAATCT